GCTGGGACACCGAGGAGCTCAATGAGCTGCTGGACTTTGACTTCATCCTCTCCAACTCCCTCATATACCAGGAGCCTGATGCTGCCTCTTCTTCTTCCACCTCTCCCTCCTCCTCTAGCCCAGCCAGCACCTGCCCTGCAGTGCCTGCTGTTACCACCTGCAACTTTACCTACCCACAGCCCTGGGCAGAGCCTAGTGGCCTCCTGTACAGCAGCAGCCAGGATGGGGCTCCCACTGTCCCCTTCAACCTGGCTGACATCACTGATATGTCCCCCTTGGGTGGATTTATAGCTGAGCTCATGAGGCCAGATTTGGACCTGGTGTACATGCAGCAGCAACAGCCGCTGCCCCTGAGCAACGTGCATGGAAAGTTTGTTGTGAAAGCCATGGGCAACTATAACAACATCACTGTTAGCACCAAGAGCAACCACACCATGGCAGCTGCTCCCCCACCACCTTGCACGGACAGCCTGGTGGCCCCTTACAGTCCTTTGCCCAGGATGTGCCCCAAAATCAAGCAGGAAGCAGCCCCTCCTTGCACTATTGCCTCACCACATGGAAACAGTCAGAGTGCCCCGCAGCATGATTTCTCACTGGGCCACCCACTGCCTACCAGGACTACCCCCTCCTTGGCACTGGAAGAGATGCTAAATAGCCAAGACACTCAATCTTCTATGCAAGGGCTAAAGCACCCACCATTGCCACTGCAGCCAGTTTATCACCCAGCCCCTGGCTACCCTCCTTTCCTGCCTGAGCAACTGCCACCCAGCACAGTCCAGTATCAAGGTCAGTTTAACAATCTAAATCTTTACAGACAGCCTGTAAAAGTACCTCATTTGGTATGAGAGGTGATGATACTGACTCCATCCTCTTCACCTTTAGAGCTGATGCCACCAGGGAGCTGTTTGCCAGTGGAAACCAAGCACAAGAGAGGACGTCGGTTGTGGCCTAGGAAAAGGACTGCCACGCACACTTGTGACTATGCAGGGTGTGGCAAAACCTACACCAAGAGCTCTCATCTCAAGGCACACCTGAGAACTCACACAGGTAAGACCAAGTCTGGATAGCTGTATTAGCATGACAAGTCAGCATATGTGGGATGCTCAGGCATAGGCAAGGATGGGATGCATGTTGCTCAGGCAACAAAAAGGGGCAGGGGAAATACAGAAGGACCAAAAGTAGCAAGTCCCAATGTTTCTCTGCTGTTTTTCTCATGCAAACATAATTTCAGTTTTTCCTGGCTACATTGTCTGTGCAATTCCTGACTTTACCTATTGGCTCATAGTGTTCATGGTTCAGAAAGACTTAGATGTGGGAGAGGGTGGGTTTTCTTGCAAATGCAAGATTTGTTTGCCCTCCTCTTGCTTTGTGTCTAGTTAATTGGCAGGTAGTCGGAAATTAACTAGGATTTGTTGATTTAGATAGTGTTGGCCTGCTTCTAGGGAGATCTGCTCTTTTCTCAGATTTTACTTTGCTGTTGGTTAAACATTTTCCCCTCTCTTGACTTGTTCTACTAGTACAAGAGATCCTGTAACTGACATGGCCTTAGCTATAATTCACTGAAGTCTTGACATCTCTGCAAGCTGCCATTCCCTTTAAAACGAAACAGCATTAAGGCCTCTCCCCTTGTTAGTTGAGCTTTCAGTTGTATCCATGACATTGATATGGTGTGTAGCCTATTTAGAAGAACAAATCTGCTTAGTAACAAAAGAAATTGAGTTTACAAGTTCATCAGATACTGTTAGAATTCAGATGAAGTATGCTAAAGTGTGTATATTTGAGCCTAGGTTCAGACTTTACAATATAATATTCAGCAGCAAGGTTAATAACTGAGCTTGTGAAAATAGGTGGTGTATGATATAATTTCACCAGTGCTGGTATTGACTAAACTTGAAGACTTCAAATCAAAACTTTTGCTTGAAGAGGGGATAGGAGAAGTGTTTAGGCTATGTCTCTAGCTAATCCCAGTGGGAGCAAAATTGGTCCAGTTAATAGTTCAGCTCTGGATGGGCAGAAAGGTCAGTACTGTCTCCAGCATGTTTAGGACTGGAATTTTATAATTGTTAGGGAAACTTGTCTTGCAGTCAATAGTAGTTTTGCTTTAATGAAGATAGTAAGATTGAGTTCTTAATTTAATCAAGTTGTACTAATGAAAGCAGTTTCCAGTTGTTTTTTCATTCTTGAAACCTACAGTTTTCTAAATCCATTATATTTACTGAGCTGTTCCTGATTGATATTTGGTTGTATAGCATTAGCCAGGAAAATATACACACTATTATCATCTGGACCCTGCATTCTGAAGTCGTGTGTACAAGACAAACAGTGGAAACTAGCATTTTACATAAGATTTCAGTAACAGCGATGTATTATAATACTTGTAACGCTATCTTGCAAAGACTATCTTACTCCAACTGTTAGTTTCTTCTTGGTTGTTTAACTTGAAGATTTTCATTGTATTTTCTACTACCCTTTTCTCTGTCTATTACTAAATGTATGCAAGGTATTAGAAGTGAAATGGAACAAAAGCACCTACATATCCACAGATATCAAACTGGAATTTTTTTTAAAGGTGAGAAACCTTATCACTGTGACTGGGAAGGCTGTGGATGGAAATTTGCCCGGTCTGATGAGCTTACTCGTCATTATAGAAAACACACTGGCCACCGCCCTTTCCAGTGCCAGCAGTGTGACAGAGCATTTTCCAGGTCAGACCACCTTGCCTTACATATGAAGAGGCACTTCTAATTAAAGCAGTGTCTCTTTCCCAAACTGCTATAAGAGATTCAATGTTTAAAGCACAAGGATAATTTTTCACAAGAAATATGGGAGGCAACCCAATTAAAGCACCACAAAGAACTATGGCGAAGTCTTCTGAAGACTGAAAATAAAGAGATAATTGCTTCCAAATGTTGAAACTTTCTCATTTTAATAAGAATTAAAAATTGGGGTCAGTGACTGGATCTTCTATTACCCCATTTTTAAATCTAACTTGAATTATTTTTGGACTAAAAAATGCCCAGGAGTGACTGGAAGTTATTGATGTCAGGGTTAAATAGACTGTGTACGGGTGGAAGGCTGAGGAGATAACACAGGGAAATGACATTCACTTAAATTTTCTTTCAGTGCGAAATTAGATATAAATGTTATCTTTTTTCATTTTTGTTTTTATTTCCTTCCAAAATCTATTACTATATAAAGAGGAGGAAAAATTCAGGTACAGAATTAATTTTAAGTCTATCTCATGGTGCTTAATGACTGTTCGTTCTAGAAGTATGGAAACAGGAAGCCAAAGTTCTCAAGCTGCTGCATATCTGACAATATTTTTGTCTTCTGACCTGTAGTTATGACTTAAATCAGGTAAATAAACCTTGTTTATCTGTTTTAAAGAAAATAAGTTTATGCAAACAGTCTAATGCACTGTGGTTTCAATGTGCAGTAGTTTGGTTTATTCCCAAATGCGCCTTAAACAGAACAAATGTTTTCTATATAATTTTTACACATAAAAAATATATAATATAAATTTAAGCAAACTTCTATTTTGTATATTTGTAGACTTAAAAAGTAAAAATGAACATTTTGTTGGAGTCTGTATTTTGTATATTCAAGTTGAAAATAAGTTTTAAATAAACCTATAATTTTATCTGAATGGGTTTTCTACTTCTATGCATGTATATGTCCAAAGAAACCTTATTTTTAAATATTCATTAGTGGCTCAGTTTCACAAGGAAAAGCATGTACACCCATGACTGAAAGATTAGAGTTGTATTTCTAGTGTTGCTGTAAAGCCTCCTCTTAAGAAAAAAGTGTACTGCAAACTTTGCTTCAAATATCACAGTCTGAATCATGAAACTGTGATTAGCCATTTTTAAGTCAACTCCATTTGAATTATTTCTCAGAGGAACTGTAGCCCAATAATATATAAGGTCTGATGTGTTAAAAATTAAACTAAGTCTAGAAACTGGCTATCTTTCTGAAGTGATCTTTTTGGGATGAATGATTTTATTTTAGCTTCACTCTCTTCAGTTGCCCAGGTAAGGTGGTATATTTATATCATATTTATGCAACTGAAAAAAATATCTAAATATCTTAGACTAGAAGTAATACATTTTGAGTATGTGCATAAAGTGCTCTGACAGTATGCTGCATGAAGTATTGTTTAATTTGAAGTTTGTGTATTGGTAATTGAGTGCCATCTCTGAAGAGGCAAAAAAATTCAGTAGGAGCTGAGTCTGGGTCATCTACAAGAAGCCCAGTTATGCATTCATAACTTGGTAACATTAGTTATGTAGAGAATCTACAAATTAAGTAGTTGTATGTTCAAGATGTGTCATTGTAAATACTTTATTGGAAGTAAATGGAACAAACCCACTGCATGTGTGAGGTAGTTACTTTTATTGCAGTTGTGTTTAGGGGCTTCATTGCTTTAGATTCTTTACAAACATGTAACTGAGATTATTACAGTACTAGTGCTTATTGAAATTGAGTCACTCTTTATTTATTTTCTCAAGTTAAAACTTAAAAAAAAAAAGTCATTTTTGACCTTTCTTGTTGCTTTGCCTCTGAGCTATTCTCTTGGAGAAGATATCCAAGGTCAAAATTGCAACTATCATGTAGGTATGTACCTGC